GCTGGGGGATTGAACCGCGGTCCCTGATGCTTTGCCAAGCTTGTTCTAAGTAGGTGCTTTAGACCACTGAGCCATCTCTCCAGCCCTTTTTTTTTTTTTATTTATTTATTTGAGAGAGAGAGAGAGAGAGAGAGAGAGAGAGAGAGAGAGAGAAATTTTTGAATTTTGAGATAGTCTTGCTAAGTCACTAAATTGTCCAGGCTAGTCTTGAACTTGTGATCCTCCTGCCTGAGCCCCCTAAGTAACCAAAATTACATGCCCATCACACCTGGCTAATTGTAGGTGTTTGAGAAGTGAGGACCACAAAGCTGCTTGGGTTTGGAGGATAAGATCAAAGGGAAACACCAGTGTATGGCTCTGAGGAGGTTAGTTCTCGTTGGCACCCTTGAATGGACTGGTAGTTATTGTAAGGTTGAATAATGAATGGAAATTTTGCTGGGCATAGTGGCACATCTCTAATCTCAGCACGCAGAAGGCTTAGGCAAAAGGATCACAAGTTTAAGGACAGCCTGGAACATAGTGAGACCCTGTTTCAAAAAAATGTAAACCTTTTGGTCTAAAAACTGTCTAGGAGCCTTGTGTGGTGGTGTACACCCATAATCCCAGCACTCAGGAAGCTAAGGATTGCTGTGAGTCAACCCTAGCCTGGGCTACATAAGCAAGTTCAAGGCCAGCATGTACTATATAGGGAAACCTCCATCTCAAAACCAAAAAGACCCCACCAGTTGACTAGGGCCCAGAGTAGTGGTACACACCTGTGATCCCAGCACTTGGGAAGCTTAGGCAGAAGGATCACTGGGAGTTTAAGGCCACCCTGGGCTACATAGTAAGTTCAAGGTCAGCTTTGACTATATAGCAAGACCCTGCTTCAGAAAACCAAAACCAAAACCCAAAAACTGACTAGAGCTGGGAATGTAGCTCAGTGATAAGAGTGTTTGCCTACCATGTGTGAGGCCGTGGGCTGATTGAAACCCTAGGCTGCGGGGGAGGTGGGGGTTGGGGACTACAAATCTCAAACTCAGGCCAGTGCCTAAGTATCTTGCTGACCTTACCAGGAGTATGTTACAGGAGCCAGGGATATTCTCTCCCTGTTCTTTTCAGGCAAATGTTAAGGAGGAGGGAAAAAAAAAAAAAAATATATATATATATATATATATATATATATATTCATTTGGGGGTTTTCAATTCTAAGTCACTATAAGTATAAAGATGTGACACAATTGCTGCCATTAAAACACTGACAAGATAGAAAAAGTTCTCTCAAGTTCAGCCCAAATTGCATAGTGGAACCCTATCTCAAAAAGAAAAAAAAAAGTTCTCTCTGTTCTCATCCTTACAAGCACTCAGGCCTGCTAATAGCAAAGGGAAGGAATACTGAAACTTCCACCTCCAAATCAACAGGCCAAGTGGTGGGGCCTGGCTAAGTTCACAGAATAATTAATCTCCCTACATTCCACCTGTGATTTGTCTAGCATTTGCTATGGTACAGGCACCATGTTAAATGCTATGCCCAATATGTACCTATTAATGTTTATAACTTCTACACAAAATAGCTACTGTTAACCCTAATCTTGCAGATTAAGAAAAGCAAGATCATAGCGATGAGCGGTTTGCTCAGAGTCCCCCAGGAAGTTGGAGATGGCCTCGAACCCAGGCAATCTGGAAAGCTCATGGTCCTCACAACTCATTATTTTGCTGCAATCCTAGTTTAGGGTAGCAGCAGGAATTAAAACTCAGCATGGAGAAAACACTTGAGAGAAGGCACAATCCATGTAGCCTGACCATAAGTAGAAAAAAAAAAACATTGCAAATGCAAGTACAGTAAGATGCAGGGACTTTGGACCCATAAGCCCCATCAGTAGGTCACAAGAGCTCCCCAGGGCAGGGCTTATGTCTCAGTCATTTTACATCTGACACAAGGCTGGATATTGGGTTGAATAATGCTGAGTAACATCTTTTTAGAAAGGACAGGCTCCTTTCTCATTACCCAGCAGGTACTGGCCATCCCGGAAGGTGTGGCTGGAGGGGAAAGGGCAAGCTAGCAAGCTGTCAATATTAGTGCTGGAGTCATGTTTGTTTGCAGAGGCTTTCTCACCCTCCCCTAGTCTTAGTTACCAATCTTCATTAAAAGCCCAATGATGTCAGCCTCTCTACCCTAGAGCTGAGACAGAAATGATACCCCATGCAACTGGATGTCCCAAAAAGGCTGCCCTCCCGCAGGTAGAATAGAGGGCCCTGCTTTTGGCTGCTTGCCTTGACCCAGTGCCTGTGTTCTGAGTCCATTCCACCCAGACAGCTTTGGATGAACAGAGTAGGCAGCCACCCACCAAGAACTTGACCTGGCTTGGCTGATGGAGGAGGGGAATACTCTTTGCCCACACCATACCTTTGTGGGTTCGTGGGTCTTTGTACTTCTCTTGTGTCTGAACCAGCTGCCTTGTAAATTTGTCTTGAAACTATTGCCAGGGTGGAGTGGAAAGTTGAGGCTGTCAGCTCCCCCAGCTACAGGTTTCCCAACCACAGAGGAGAGAGCTTAGGAAAGGTACATTCAGTAGGGTGGGAGCTGGGAGAAAACAGACCCTGGACAATAGCTGGGTAGCCAGATGTTCACTTTCACAGCTCTCCTGTAAAACTGGCAGGGCAGATATAGATTGAAGCAAAGCACAAACTCCATTTAAAGTGCATTACAGCTCAGGAACTGGCTCCCCCTGGGCAGGAGAAGGGAGGGAAGGGCACAGAGGCCACAGCAGTCTCCTTTCTTATCTAGGGCCACACGTCTCTCTCCTAGCTTTGTGAAGGGTGATTTACACCCCGGCAGGGATGGCTCTCTGTCTGGGCTGATTACATCTGCAAATACCCCCCAGAGGCCACAGCAGGATGGCCATGTTCAGAAGCAGCAGCCAGTAAATCTGAGAGGTTTATATTGCGCTTCACAATACCCTCCCCTGGCCCTCTGCCAGCTGCTGGGGAAACAAGGAGTGGGCCCAACTCAGAGGGCCAGGGGATGGAACCCCGTTCCTTTCTTCACCCTCATTTCTCTCTTTAGATGCTGCTTGTTTCTCATTCTTCCAAGGCATTTTGGAAGCTGATGGGAATCAGGCTCAGGCCCCCAAATCCCCTTATTTTTGTAGGTAGGCATTCTGGGTTCTGGACACAGCCTGTTTCTACCTAGTTTAATCCTTGTAGAGTAGCTTGATTTCTGAAACCCTGATCATGTAAAAATGATGGGCTCCCTAAATGGTCTTGAAACACTGTTTTCTGCTTTATTTGGTCCCAGAAAATTCTTCCTATTTGTGCGTACATGTTGGGACCCTGGGTGTGTGTGATTATGTCCTCCCTGATAACACCAAAGAAAGTGAATCTTAGTGCAGTCAAGTCTGGTGAGGCCTCTAGGTCTTACCCCAGTGATGCTTCTTCCATCAAAGAACTTTCACCAGTTTTGCAAAATCTTGATTTTTAATAATCACCATATTATCTTAGCCTTGAAGATACTTACAAAATAAGGGACAAATGAGATCATAAATGTGCAAATTCTAAGAAGAGAGAACCCCTCAAAATTCAAGTATGCTTATAATAGCTCAAATTTTGTTACACTTGTGATGTTGCTCTTCCTGGTGGAGGTGGGTCTGGAAGATGAGAAAGGCTGGCTGGCTGGCTGGCTTTCTCTTTCTTTCTTTCTTTCTTTCTTTCTTTCTTTCTTTCTTTCTTTCTTTCTTTCTTTCTACTGTTGGACCCCAGGGGTGGTGAGGGTCCTGTGGCAGCTCCACAGCCTGCTGAGGACCATGAGCAGCAGGTGGCAGGTGTGCACCCTGGGCAGCCCCCCTCCCGCCCCCAGGCTAGTCTGGAGCAGGATGCTGCGAGGTGCGGCCACGCGCTCGTTTGGAGTTGGAGGGCGGCGCCGGGGACCCTGGTGGGAGCGCGCGGAAGACGGCGGTAGGAGGCGCCCGGCTTGGAGCCCAGATCGCTGAACTCGCGCTTCAGGGGCCAGAGGAGTGCGGCGCTGGGCGCAGGCAGAGGACCCTCGTGGACACGGGCACCCCCCGCCCCCCTACCATGGTGTGTGCCCCGAGCCTGCCACCGCTGGTGGTCCTGCTGCTGCTGCTAGTACCGCTGCTCGAAGCTGGTGAGTGTCGCCTGTGCGCTTATGGTTGAATGGTCGTGGCTGGAGGGGCAGGTGGAGGTGAGTGTGGAGGCGGAGCTTGGGCACAGTCCCGAGTGGGGACGTCCGCGGACCTAGAGGAGGAAGCCCAGTGTGCCAGGAAGGGACTGCTTTCCGTGCCTGTTCCTGGGTCTGAACTGGTGTCCCTGGGTGCCTGCAACCGCGTGGGCATCCGAGGATTCCCGGCTCTCCCAGTCCCCCGTTCCATCTTTGCGGTGGCATCTGCAAAGTCCCAGAGTGTCCTGCAGCCAGGCCACTGCCCAGAGGGAAGCAGGACTGCCACGAACTCCACATGGCCTCAGTTCCTCTACCCTGCAACTTTACTGTGCCCTCACTGGACTGAGGGAAAGGTGCAGTTGAAGAAAGACAAAGAGGAGAAAGTCCTTAGTGATGACTGTCATGACCAGAACTGTAACCACCCAGAGCTCTCAGCACATCTGGTGGAGAGAGACTCCCTACTGGGCTGGGGGCCTCTCCCCACCAGTCTCTGGCCCTGGACAGTCAGTGCACAATGGGTGTTTGGGGGAATGATTAGTGCAAACCTGCTTTTAGAACCAGAGCCATCCCCTGAGCAAGGACAGCCTGAGAGCCACCAGCCCTGGAAAAATGCCCATGGCTTTGGGCAGTGGGATGGATGCGTAGAAGTGTAGTGTGGGTTTTTGCTGGAGCTGGAGGGAATGGTGAGCAGAGACCACACTTGTTATCACACACTCACACTCACATGCGCACACACGCACACACCCACACACCCCTTTCACAAGACCATAGTACAGAAATACAGTTCTGAGCTGGCCATGGTGGAACATATCAGTAATCCCAGTACTTGGGAGGCCAAGGAAAGAGGATCAAGAAAAGGTGGAGGCCAGCCTGGGTTACATAATCAGTTCAAGATCAATGTGAACACATAACAAGACCTCATCTCAAGGAGAACAACAAATAAAAACAAACAAAAATAAGACTTTGGCAACTGTGGGCCAGATATGGAAGGAGGGAGGGAAAGGACTGGTCAGTCCAGTCTGATTGTGCACAGCTGCTTGTCAGGAGCAGAGGTACACACTGGATACTTCTCAGGGGACTCATTTAGTAGAGCAGAATGGCAAGCAGGTGTATTTTCTATTTTCCTCCATAATACTTGTCAGCAGGGTTTCTGGCTGAATAGCCAAGTTGCAAATCCCAAACAAATGACGCTGTGCTCTGAAGCAGAACTTAACGCCATTTCAGCCTCTCATCCTCTGATGAACCAAGGAGGAATTGAGTAATGAAGCCAAGCTGCTGGAGAAAACAGTAGACAGTGACAGTGTAAATGAGGAAGCAGAGGTATGGTAGAGAACATAAGAAAAGGACAAGTTGAAAGGTGGGCCTTACCAGAGGGCACAGACACAGCAGGTTCTGGGTGTTCCCCTAAGAGCATTGTGAGGCTATGGGCCTGTGGTCTTTGCATTTTCACAAACACTGGAACTGAATGTTCTGTATTTCAAGAGAAATTGAAAATCCATAGTTTTGTTTTCGAAACAGAATGTTCCTATGTAGCCCAGGCTGGCCTTGAAATCGTATTAGTCCTCCTGCATCAGCCTCCCAAGTACTGGGATTATAGATGTGTGCCACCATTCCTAGTGGAAATTCAGTTTTTCTTTCTTTCTTTTTTTTTTTCTCCCAGAACTGGGGATTGAACTCAGGCCCTTGTGCTTGCCAGGGAAGCACTTATTCCACTGAGCCATCTCCCCACCCCACCCCCCATGGAAATTCAGTTTTATATCAGCTCTTTTTGTTTGTTTGTTTGTACCAGAAATCTTGAACTCAGGACCTCATGCTTGCCAGGTAAGTGCTATATCCCTAAGCTATATCCCTGGCCCTATTTTTTTTTTTTTTTTTTTTTTTTT